GCGCGAAAAGCAGGGGCCGGTTCCAAAATCCTTTTTATAGGATTTTCAAAAATTTTTTTCAATTAGTTGCTGAAAATTTCTTTTGAGGTGGGGGGAAGAACTTCCTTTACCGATTCCTTTATTCCTGGTGGGTTTGTAATCTGCCTTTTCTGTTCTGAGGGTGAAGGGTGGGATGATGGGAGGGAGAGTGATAACGCTGTAGCTTGTTTTAAAGCAAACTAGTGCCTGTTGCCCAATGCCAAACCTCACTCATATCAACTCTGGGGAGCGATTCAGTGCTGAGCAGGGGAGCGATACCTCCAAAGGGCTACTGAGAATTGACTGCAAGACTTCTTGAACCAAATCACGGGCTCCAGCCTCCGCTGGTGTGAGTGAGCATATCCCAGCAACATCACTGCAGCTGCACCCTTTCACACCAGCTCAGGACAGGGTCTGGAACTCTTTAAGCAAACCCTGGCTTTGATGGGGCATTTCTTTTTCCCTGTGTGTGGCTCAGCACATCTCATTGCTATTTCATTGCCTAACTGGCTCAGAGCAAGCTGGGACCTGCACATCTTGGGCCAGGGGAGGCTTGTGTTACATAGACACATGGTGAGCATTTGGAAGAGGGGGTTCCTCTATGAGTTTTGGCAGCTTTGGAGCGCCCCAGGGGCCATTTGGTCTTTGTCAAAGCCAGTATTTGGATTGAGGTTGGTGTTTTCTTCCTTGAGGTGCAACCCAGTGTTGACTCTGCTTTATCCCAGGGCTCTGTAAAATGGGGGCTGGCTGGGACCCCTTCAATGTGGGGACACCCAGGTCTGTGCATGGTTTCTCTCCTTGCAAATGGGGTGTGATGGTTTTCTTTATTCCTCTCATTTCTGAAATAACATGCTCTGTATTGTAAGGAATAACTTGATTTCTCCTCTGCATCCCACGTGCCCGTAGCTGGGAGACGTATCCCGGGTCTGGAGCAGCATCAGTCACTTTGCTTAGTGCCTCCTATCCTCCAGCTTTCTGCCTGAGTGAGTGGCTTCCTACCTTTAGTTGCTTCTTTGAAAGGAAGAGGTGACCCAGTGGGGCCCTGTCCCTGTGCTATCCGGCCCAGGGAGACGCCGTGGCCACAGGTGCTCCTCTCCCCTGCCCCAGGGTGGCGCAGGGGCAGTGACAGGAGAGCTGCCCATGCTCTGCTTTCGCCACTCGCTGCCTTGTGCTCCCAGTCCTGTCTTCAGAGCATCCCCCCACTGCACTCCTGTGTGTAATTTCCCAGTTTCTGAAGATGTTGTAAGAGAAAACAGCTCACGCTTTTAACACAACCACAAAGCTGAAGAAGGCTTGAAACACTGCAGCATGCAGGTTTTTCCACAATTCCACGTGTTACATTTTCCACGGGATTCTTGCACTAATGGTTTTCCATCTGTTCTCTCTGTAAATGGGTGCACTTTACTGTTTGGATTTGTTACTATGATAAATACTGGATATTTAAGTGTGAGTAGTGTCTTCATTAGAAAAATAGCAAAACAGCTCATGTCTCTTAGTGTATTTTTCAAAAAAAAAAAAGAAGAGAAAAGAAACGAAGCAATGAATCATAACATTTATAGCACAAGAACTGACTCCTGTATATAAGCATCAACAGATTGAGTAATTTTTGAATACAAAATTATTTGCAGTGGTTTTAAAGCACTTCCCTGGCAATTATCTTAGGGACAGTTGAGGCAGGATGGCTGCTGTGGTCACCAGGTGGGTAAGAAGCACATTTCTTTCTGGAAAAGCTGTTCTTGCTCAGTCCCCTACGTCTTCAAAGTCATGATTTGGTCTTTGCATTAGGAGAAGCAGAGGTCATTCTGTGTTGTGCTGGCATGGCCCTATTGTGCTTGGGGGAGCACAAGGTCAGATCTCACCCTGAGGGCCCTTCATCCTCTACTCTTAGATCTGGGTCTGACAAGATCACGCTCAGTTTCAGACATTGAGCTGTCCTGTATGTCTGTGCTATGTATTTAATTACTTTTTGAGTAATTAAGATGCAGGTCAATGCTGCCAGCTGGTGCCTTCATGCCCTCCTGACTGCAGTGGTACCACTGGCAAGCCCCACCTTTGAGCAAGCAGGATTTTGGGTCCACCAAGAAAAGCAGGTTCTTGATGACATTGAAACTCCAGTTTTCATTCTTGGGGTACGTGCAGAAGGCAGTGCCAAAAGTGATGCTGACCCCTTTCTTTAGCCAAACTTCCCACCAGGTGTCTCTCATCCTCACCTGTGGCTGCTCTGAGACCCAGGTGTGCTGCCACAGAGCTGGAATCTTCTCTCCCAGCATCAGGTGTGGCTGTCTGCCCCATCCCTCATTGAGGGTTCATTGGCTCTTGCTTTTCTCCCAGGTCTGGAGGATGCTGTGGTCCCAGGGGAGTGGACACCCACATGGTGGGGGGCTCTGCAGGGTCCCACCAGCCAGGCTGGGAGTGGCATCAGAGGGCTTTGGACATAGTCTTGAGTGGGCATCAAAGTGCTTAGGAAAAAGGGGGTTTTACAAAGATCCTTTGAGATCTGTCTCTGAAGGAGGTACAGCCTGAGCTGCCTTCTCTGTGTCACTGGTTGGGAGGACTGTGATGGTTCCAACAATCTGAAATGTGTGTCTGTCCATCTGTCTGTCTGCTGTGGCACCAGTGCCCAGCTCAGTCTGTTTGAGCACTGAACTTTTTGGTTATTTTTCTTTAACCTGGCTGTGAAGAAAGCCGTGTGGCTGGTGTGAACGTGTGAGCGTGCGTATGCCGAACACCGGAGTCGTGCTGGGATTAGGTCTGGAACCAGGGTGGGTGGTAAACTGGGAGCAGTTCAGTCTCCTTTGCAAAGGTTGCTGTATATTCAGGGTTACCCAGGAGAAGTCTAGCTAAAACCGAAGTGCCAGCTCTGCCTTATCTAGAGAACCAAGCAAGCCAGCGTGCCTGCTCGTCCTCCGCCTTCCTCGCCCGCGGGGGCCCATAGAGCGCTGCCGCGAGCTCCTTGGTGGTTGTACTTTGCTGTACTCTTGGGAATTCAAGGTAACTCTTCTACTGGTTTATCAGCCTTTACCCAAGGGCTTAGGGAAAGAGCTGCTGTACCTGCTGGGACCTCTGCAAATCAAAGCCTTCACCCCATGCCGGCTGCGCTTGGCAGGCTGGTGGAGGGTGTGTTGGACACAAAGCACAATGGTTGAAAGTGAATCTGCGTTTTTTTCAGCTTTATGTGAATAATTGCTGGATTTTCATTCAATCAAACTCTTTTTTCTAATATAAACCACTAAGGGCTCAATTCTTTAGCAAGATGCATTCGTGTCCAACTCTTGACTCTACAGCTGGATCTCACCAAACTGGTACAGACCGACCCAAGAGGTCACAGTGAGCGCGGCCGTCACGGGGAAAGCCAACAGACACCCAACCCACCAGCTGTGTCCTTCCTCCTGCTCCTTTTCTAGCTGTCACGGTACTGGGGAGTCAGCAGCCAGGTCCCATCTGATGGGATCACATCCTGTGGTTGTGAAAACAGAGGGCTGCTTTGCTAAAAGACTTTGTCCCTTTGGGTGATGCTGTCCAGGGACGGCGGTGGGGAGGCAAGTCAAGGTGGGAATGGGTAGGTGGGAAAGCCTCGTGCCCATAGAGCTGGGTCCCCACAGGTCTGCCTCGCTGTGCACTGCTCAGCCAGCCACTGAGAGCAGCACTGTGTGATACATAAAGTCCATTGTGTTGCTACACTGATAAGCCAGAGACTCGTGTGGACTCTGCCAGTACTGCCGGGCTCATCCCTGTCCAGCCTTTTCTTTGCCATAGTGTTGCATTCAGCGTTCCATCTCCTTTCTGTCTTCACATCCGAGAGGATCTGAGTTGGGTACAAACACGTCCACTACACCTGCCTTGTGCTTTGTACAACTGCCTGGTCGCCATCCTCTGAGACACTTGCTGGGAAGATCTTTAAGACACTTAAATTTTCCTTTAGCTTTTCTATAATTCAGATGTAAAGGACTTTCTCTCTGTACAGTATATTATCCAATGCATGTTCTGTTCTCTCTGATATATTGAACACCACACAGTTGTGATATTGTGCAGTGGGAAGAGCAGCCCCTGCCAACAGCAGAGGCCTTCGCCTCTCATCTCTAAGGAAAGAAGAAAACATATTTTTTCCTTTGCTGTATTTGCTTGAGCAGAGTTTTCTTGTCTGTACATGTGAGCTGTGAGATAGATGTGAAAAGTTCAAAAGAATGCATTCCCCCCCCCCCCCCAATGTATACAGATTGTAATCTGTACAATGAAAACTGTATGTATGAAAAAATGTACCTATTTATAAATGGTTAACACTTGGAAATGGTGTCTGGGCTGCTGTTTTTCCCACACTGGGGTCAGTGAAGGAGTGTTCTGATGCTTCTTGGTTTGGAAATGTTGGTGGGTTGGGTCTCACAGTCACTGCATGGGGGTGGGGACAGAGACCTGGGAACCACCAGGAGCGGGAGGTGACAGAGGCAGCGCCACTGCTGCCGCCAAAAAAGGCATATAATAATATAATGGATAATAATTACAACACCCAGTGCATGGCCAGACCCTGGAGATGGGCCCATGGGGTCCCTCACACAGCTACCACTGACAATCCCACCCCTAATGTCCACCCACCCTCCCCAGCCCCTCGGGCAGCTCCTTCCCAGCTGCCCTCGGCATGTGGGAACTCGAGGATACCCCAAAACTGCTCTGAGGGGGCAGAGTCAGGAGGACAGGGTTAGCTGCAAACATTTATTAGGTCAGGAGCATCCACTGAACAAATACATCATGCGTGGGGAGAAAACACTTCAGACACGAAGCTGCTGAGCCTGCACAGGCACAGGGTCACTCCAAACCCCCAGAGAGCCCTTCTGGGGAGCGTCCCCCCGTGCTGAGGGAGAGGGGCTGCCAGTGAGTGAGACATCCCAGTGCTGGCAAACATCCCCTCTGCCCCCCAGCACTGGGAACAGCCTACAGGCTTCGGCCCACAGTGCAGAAATCTCTGCTCCCACTCCATCCCCAGAGCCCAGAGACCCCTCTCCTGTGCCCCTGCCAACCCCTGCCCACAGCACTGCCATTCCCACAGGGCTGGGATGGGTTCGGGGTCACCAGGGCCTGGACAGGGCAGATCTTAGGAGGATTAAGGCCAAGCCAAGCTGAGTCCAATGGGCAGCATTGCACCAAGCATGTCCTTCCCCAGCTGTCCTCGTCACCCTGGGCTGGGCAGAGATGCAAACCACCAGAGACAGGGGGCACAGGAACGTTTCAGACATCACAAGGAGCCCGTGCTGGAGACCAGGAGCTGCAGATGTCACTGGCTGCCACCACCAGGGCTCTCTCCCTCTGTCAGGGTCTTGAAGTCCATGGACAGGGCCAGCTCCTCTGCCAGTGGTGGGCGCTTCCACTCCTCCCGTGTCAGCACGTAGCCCACCACCAGCCCAAAGGCCACCAGCAGCACCCCCAGGGAGTTGGCCAGGATGCCCTCAGGCACAAAGTGGCTGTAGGAATCACTGCAAGCATAGAGAGGGATGCCCAAGCCTTAAGGGATGGGTAACCTATCTCTATCGTGGGTTGGACCCCCTCTTCATCCTCATCCCCATCCTCATCCTTCAGACACACACCATGGGAAAGATCACCCACCTGATGTTGAAGAGGAGCATCTCAGTAATGCCCAACAAGCAGGAGGTGATGGAGAGGATGAAGAGGGTGATGCCAAAGAAGACGTGCTGGGGCTTGTACCAGCCTCTCAGCGAGAAGGAGGCACCGGGGAACAGAAAGAAACCACAGCCCAGGAACCACTGTTGGGACACAGGGATGTCACAGGTGCTGCAGAGCCTCTTCCCTGCCAGGGGGGCCAGGGGCTTCCCACCCCTTACCTGCAGGAGGTAGAGCACGAAGGTGGCCATCCCACACCAGGAGTGCAGGCTGTACATGTCAGGGATGCCCTTAGCCCGGTGGGACTCGAAGACAGCGATGATGCCTGTGGAGAAGAGCCCATCACCAGCAGGGCTGACCCTGCCCAATCCACCCTTCCCATCCAGCATCACCAGCAGGGCTGACCCTGCCCAATCCACTGCTCCCATCCCATCCCAGCATCACCAGCAGGGCTGACCCTGCCCAGTCTGCCACTCCCAGCTCAGCACTACCAGCAGAGCTGACCCTGCCCAATCCACCCTTCCCATCCCAGCCCAGCACCATCAGCAGGGCTGATCCTGCCCAATCCACCCTTCCCATCCCAGCCCAGCACCATCAGCAGGGCTGACCCTGCCCAATCCACCCTTCCCATCCCAGCCCAGCACTCACCCACGAGGGCGATGACCAGGGCCAGGCCGTGGAGCAACGCGTGCAGTGCCTTGGTGGAGCGCTTGGCTTCGTGCCTGAACACCCGGTACACCAGGAGAGCTGCACAGAGAGGGTACCTGAGCATCCACAGGGCTCACCCAGCACTGCCCGGGGATGCTGGTGCGCCTTCCCCGTGTCTTTTGTCACCACTTTGTCCCCTTCATTCCCTGCCTGACCACAGCTGCAGGCTTTGGAGGCTGCAGCTGGGACAGGGCACGCGTCCATCCCCCCGTTCTGCTCACCGTCGCCTTGGAGGAACACCATGCCCAGCACCATGCACAGGGGGTGGGCGTTGAACTGCAGGGGGCTGTGCCAGGCCACGCCGCCCCGGTAGCGGCCCAGCCAGGCACCTGTGGTGCCCAGGAGGGTCAGGCCCAGCAGCTGCGACACTGCCACGTATGCCGAGAGCCCGCTGGGGCTGGGGGGCGGCGGGGCCCCATCCATGGCAGCCTGCGGGGACAGAGAGGAGGGGCAGCGAAGCCACAGTGGCCCCAGGCAGGTCCCGGCTGGCCGAACCTGGGCTAAGCTCCGGCCCCGAGCAGCGTCCGTCGCCTCTGCTCCACCCTCACCTGCCACGGAGCCGGAGCTTCCTGGTCCCGCTGCGTCACCCGCACCTGGAGGTGGCTCCCAGCCGCCACGGCACACCCAGCCCCGCGCTCCTGCACCTCCTGCCTGCTCCTGCCCTTCTTCCCAACCCTCCTGCCCCTGCCTAAGCCCTGCCTGCCTCATTCCTCCTGCCCCAGCCCTCCTGCAACAACCGCCCCTCCATCCACACCCCTCCATCCTTGTCCTTCTGTGCCTGTCCCTGCCTCCATCCTTTTCATCCCCATCCCTCCAACACTGTCCCTCCATCCCCATTCCTCCCACTCCATGCCCATCCCATGTCCCACCTTCATCCGCTCCCAGACCCCCTCAACAACCCCCAAACCCTGAGGGGAAGGAAATGCAGGGGTAAGCAAGGCACCCCCTCCATGGTAAGAGCAATGGCCCTCGGGGACATGGGGCTGAGTGAACATCTGTGCTCTGTGTGTCTGGGGGGACACACACACATGGTGTCACCCAACCACAGCTACACCAGAGACCCTTCCCATGGACCCCACAGCTCACCTGCTCTATGCTTGGTGCTGGGTTATCCCTCAATGGATCGGAGCCACCTCCACCACTGCCACAGCCACTCCTCCTCTTCCCTGGCACCTGGAGCCAGCAGGTCCAACGTCCCCTCTGCCCTGGCCCCTCTGCACTGCCTCTGGGGAGGAGCCCTCTGCCAGCTGTGGCAGACGGACCCACGATGCTGCCAGGACTGGGGGAGCGTGGAGAGGGGGAATGCATTAAGACCACGCACACACTTTATTCCCAGCCACCTTTATTGGATCAGCCAGATAAGTGGGTTAAGGGAATTGGTTTATCCCATTAAGTTGCACTGCAAAAACCGCCTGTGTCCAGCCTCACTGCCTGGGGCCATGGGGTGCTCTGTGGGATGGGCAGGGGGACCAGGCTGGGAGGGGGGACAATGAGAGGCACTGGGATATCACAACAGCCTCCCCCAAACTCTCATCACACCCAGGGGTTGCTGACACATCTGGGGGTGGCAGATGGGGACCCATGTAACCCTGTCCTGCCTTCCCACCAGATGCAAACATCTGGCCCTGCTGGCAGTCACACAGGGCAAACACAGTTCCCAACAGCACTGAGGATGGAGGGACAGGCAAGGAACACCCCCAGCCACAGGGCCTGGCAGCAGGACGCAGGGCATGCCTGTGGCAGTGGGATATTCTGAGTTGCCCATTAACCACCACTGAGTGCTGGGAAAACTGGAGGTGACTGCACCCCTTCCAGGACCTGCTGCTCCCCTCCCAGCCTCTGTCTCCCCTGCACCCCCAAGCACATCCACAGTTCCCCGTTCCCAGGGCAAATCCAGTGCTCCTCACATTTGGCAGGGTGTTTTCTCTGGTTAATCTGGTTAACCCACATGCCCTGGGGGGAGGATACACCTTCAGCCTGGCCCCCCCCTCACCTCACAGGGGCCTCTGGCTGGGACTCTCCAAAATGCCAGGGGGGCTCAGGGACTGTCTCTGCTCCCGATGGGGGCTACACGCTCATGCAGGGGAGGGTATTCTCTCTGGTTCATAGCTGAGGAGGGTCTGAGTGACAAATTGGAGGGGCTGAAGGCAGATCCCCACAGGGGCTGAAGGCAGATCCCCACAGCGGCTGAAGGCAGATCCCCACACGGGCTGAAGGCAGATCCCCACAGGGGCTGAAGGCCAATCCCCACAGGGGCTGAAGGCAGATCCCCACAGGGGCTGAAGGCAGATCCCCACAGGGGCTGAAGGCAGATCCCCACACGGGCTGAAGGCAGATCCCCACACAGGCTGAAGGCAGATCCCCACACGGGCTGAAGGCAGATCCCCACAGGGGCTGAAGGCAGATCCCCACACGGGCTGAAGGCAGATCCCCACACGGGCTGAAGGCCGATCCCCACACGGGCTGAAGGCAGATCCCCACAGGGGCTGAAGGCCGATCCCCACACGGGCTGAAGGCAGATCCCCACATGGCTCCCCCGTGTTCCCCACCCTACCTGTGGGTGCCGGCTGGTGCTGCCTGTGCCAGGCCCTGCGGTGACAGTGTCTGAGCAGGGACAGGGCCACGGCGTTGGCACGGCAACGCAGCGATGACAAAGCGAGGGGGAGCTGCACCCCAGCGTGGCTGCAGGGGGAGGCTGTGAGGAGCAGAGGCAGGGGGGCCGCAAACGGGGGGATCACCACCGAGCAGGGGGTGTGTGTTCTGGGGACAGTCCCTGAGGAGGTGGCTCACTAACAGCGTGTGTGACACCCCCACACCCTCACACTGTTCCAGGCACCCCCTGAGCCCCCACCTGCGCCCTGTGACCCCCCAAACAGGCCAGGAGCACCAGGCCCTACCGGCCCGGCCCAAGGCCCCTGCACAAGGCCAAGGACTGTCCCCTGCACAGGGCCTTTGCCACCATTAAATTTGTGTTTGGGCCTTGCTGGCTCATCCCTGCACCCACCAGCAGCCCTGGAGTGACACAGGGGAATGGCACAGGGGAATGGCACAGGGGAATGGCACAGGGGAATGGCACAGGGGAAGGGCAGAGGGGAATGGCACAGGGGAGTGGCAGAGGGGAAGGGCAGAGGGGAATGGCACAGGGGAAGGGCAGAGGGGAATGGCACAGGGGAATGGCACAGGGGAATGGCACAGGGGAGTGGCAGAGGGGAATGGCAAAGGGAAATGGCACAGGGGAAGGGCAGAGGGGAATGGCACAGGGGAATGGCAGAGGGGAATGGCACAGGGGAATGGCACAGGGGAAGGGCACAGGGGAATGGCAGACATCACCCCCCGACCTCCGTCTGCCTCACCGCCAGCCCTCCCAGCACACCGGGCACATCCTGCACTGCCTGCGGAAAATCCCTGAGGGAGAAAGAGCCTGGAGACCCGACATGAGGGGAAACAAGAGAACTGGGCGGAGAGGAGAGGAGTCCCCATTTCAGCTTTTCCTGGCCGAGTGCGGGCAGAGCCCCCGGGGGTGCAGCACCGGGGCGAGCAGCACTCCCGGACCACCCCCCTCGCTGTGTCTGTGTGTCCGTGTCCCTGTGTCTGTCCCTGTGCCTGTCCCTGTGTGTGACACCGCTAGATGTCACCAGGAGCCCGCGGCGCGCAGCGGCCTGGGGAGAGAGGGGAGGGACGGAGGGAGGGAGCGCCCAGAGGATCTGGAGCATCCTCGGCTCTGGATCACCCGTAGGGGACAGGCAGCAGGCACGGAGCGGGTAGGAACGGCAGCAGCCTTAAGGCTGGACCCCCAGAGGGACCCCCAGAGCCAGAGCAGCCCAGGGAACCAGCACACCCTCACTCACGTTGGGGTTTGCAGCCCCCTCTGCCCTCGACCACCCACGGGAGCTTGGAGCATCCTGGCACTTGGAGCGGCTGGTGGCACCTGGGGCTCCCGTGGTGCAGAGGATCGGGTGTAACAGCCTCTGCTGGGGTGCAGGGCTGCTCCCCCAGCCCTTGGAGTCTACTGTCACCCACACAAAAACCCTGAGCAAAGGCACCCCAAGTCCCAGCTGAGACCCCCACCAGCATCCCCATTCCCTTCTCCCTGCCCAGCAGGGACTTGTGCTGTGGGACACAAACCCCAGGAGACGGGGACCCACCACCACCCGTGGTGATGATTCAGCAGAACTGAAACCCCACTGCAGCCCCAGACCCTGATGGAGACCTGACACAGCAACAGCAAAGTCCGGGGCAGAGTCCCAGAGCCACCACCCCTGGGAGCAGAGGGAGGTGAGGCACAAGATAGGGGGTATGGCAGTGCCACAGGAGTCACTGCTACCATCCAGCCTCCACTGGGGCTTTATCTCTGCTTGGAAAATGGTTTATGGCAGAGTCATCTGCTAAAGCCATAAAAACCACCATAAACTGAAAACCTTCAGCCACCGGGCTGTGCCATGGCTGGGATGGGCTGGGCAGAGCAGAGGGAGGATTCCCCCCACCACAGCCCAGCTGAGACCCTTGGAAAATCCACAAAGGGGATGAGATTTGGGGATTCATCCTTTAGGATACTTGGCAGGACATAAAGTTTTGCCCTGATGAGAGCAGCACTGTGTAACCCAATACCAAATAGGTTTAGAAATGTTTATAAACATGTGTCCAGCTGAACTATCTCAACTTCCAGCAGACAAGGAAAGAGAACAGACCTTAAGTCTTCAGGATTAAATGGAGGTGGATCTTGTCCCATCCATACAGCAGGAACAATGGCAGTGTTTGCTGAGGGGCCGTGGTGGCAGCCAACCCAGGGACAAATGAGCTGCTTCACTGCTGAGTTCCTCTTACCAGGGAGCAGCAGCCATTTATAACGAGCTCTTTAATTAAAGGCATTGCCGGGGGCATAATGGCTTTATTAAATCTGCTTGAGCTTTCCCCAGGCTGGAGGTAATGAAAGCCTTGCGGCACTGCTGGCATGGGGATGTGTCACCTAGGGACCAGAACCTGTGCTGGCTGTCCTGGCATGGACCTGCAGGTTGAGGGGATGCTTGAGAGCTCTTGGGCTGCTCAGGGCTGCCCAAGGCTTCTCAGGGATGTTCAAGGCTCCTCAGGGATGCTTGGGGGGTGTTCAGGGATGCTTAGAGGTGTTCAAGCATGCTCAGGTGTGCTTGGGACTGCCACAGATTCCTTCAGATCAGTGAGCTGAAGTGGCTCTGGAGATGCTGCCCCAGCTCTCCAGCTGTTGGCTGAGCTGGAATCTGTTCCAGGTTGGTCCTGGGATGCCAAGAATCCAGGGATCAATAAGAGCATCATCAACTGATAATTCATGGAAAAACCAGCAGTTCTTGTCCTTGCCCAACTGTGCCTCCCACCTTGGCATGGGCATCTTTCCTCTCTCCGCTACAGATTATTAAATTACCATTTTGCTGATCTAACTTCTTTTGGTTGGTTTCTTTCTTCTCCTTCCTAAATCAAATTCTTATTGCTAAGAAATGCTAATTTGCAAGATGCCTCCCCTGAGGACTGCGATTCAAGAGCCCAGCTGCCTTGGAGGAGCTGAGGTGCAGCCTGAAACAACCTCAAGCTGCTGTTCCATGTGAAACCCCAAACCTGGGGCTAAATTAACCATTTTTCACTAAACATAAGAGAAAAAATAACAGTCATGTTGGAAGGTTCAGTGGCTGCCAAGAGGGTGGCTGAAGGGTGGCTTGGGATTAAGCACTGGGTAACATCAAAAGGGCTGATCTCCAGTTCCCTGGGAAGCTGTGAAGGCTGAAAAACAGGTAATTCCCAGCTGGGACAAAGCTTCCTCAAGAACCTGGATCCTTCCCAGGCTGCAAATCAGCTGGAAAAGACTCTGGTTCTCCTCCTGGCAGCAATTAAGCCACCCTGTCCTCCTCCTCCCCAGGAACACAACTCTGCTGCGTGGGGTGGGCGATACAATCAGCCCAGCGCAGCCCCTGCAGACGCTTCATCTCCTTCAGGGGAGGCTGAAGGCAAGTTTATGGCCATTTTTTAATAGCAGCTTGGATAAACAGCGTCGATAACCCGTGCTGGGCTCCCAGAGGATGATTAATGCTGCAGGAACAGTCACGCTCGCTCGCCTCGGGGCTGGGATTGTTTTCATTTATTAAAGGTGGGGGGGTAATAATGGACTTTGCCGTGTTTTATTGGGTTGATAGGTGCAGAGGGGAACATGTTGGCCTCTTTGCTCACCCTGTATCTTGCCCAGCTCTGCTGAGTGGCAAAGATGGGGGATGGAGTGATGAAGGATGAGGGATGAGTGATGAAGGACAAAGAATGAAGGATGAGAGATGAAAGATGAGAAATTTAAGTGGAGGAAGAAGGGAGGAATGAGGACAGATGAAGGATGAAGAATGAAGAACTAGCAATGATTTCTCACCAGGTTTTTACTTCTTGCCCTGTGATGTTCCTGACTGTGTGCCTGGCACTGTGCACATATCCTGCACTGTGTCTGGGGGTTCCCCAAGGGCTGGGCTACAGGGGTCTTTTATTTATTTAGGACCCTTCCAAAACATGGGAATCATTTAGCAGCCCTGAGTCCACCAGTGCCTTCAGCACACTGCATACTCAGGGCCTTGCAGTGTCACAGCACATCCTCAGGACTCTCTTTGCAATGGGCACATCCCTGAGCTGCTGGCACCGGTCCCAGTCTGGGAATGAGGCTGGGGAGATCTGATGGTGAAAACCCCATATCTGTCCCTGTCCCACTCAGCTCCAGCCCCACCGAGCTGCCCAGCTGGGGAAAACACATGGTCCCTCTCAGGCTGCCCTGTGCAGCCAGCCTGGGTCACATGTGTCCCCACACCTGCGCCAGGTCCGGTCTCCCTGGGACAATAGACCCTTGTCCTAGGGCAGGTATGTGCTAGAAGGAGTTTGTATGGGGTGGGGTGGAAACTGTGACGATAAGGAGCTTTCTGCTGCATTCTACTGAGTCGGCAGGTTGAGTGATGAAGCAACACTTGATGTCGTGGGGCCAGGGTGAGCTCCCCCACAGCTCATTGCCCCCCATCCCCGCTCAGAGGGGACACGCCAGGCTTTCAACACACCTTAAATCCAGGGAAAAGCTGGAAACAGCCTCACAGTGATGCCAAAACTGCTCAGCAGAGACCTTTTGCACTCAGACAGCAGGAGCAAGGACTTCTGTGTCCTCTTGCCATTACAGTCCCCAAATCCAGGTGACTTTGAGGGGCTCCAGCAGCCTCAACATTCACTGGAATAGCTAAAAATTGTCTTGGCAATCAGAGGTCTGAAATAAATGGTAAAAAGCCTGATTGCTTTGGGCATTTCTTTTTATTTTTTTTGGAAGGCTGAGGGGAAAAAAACCCTATTTGTTTAGATGAAAAATTTGGACTGGAGAGGTGTTTTTTCCCCTCTCCCTCATGACAGCATCACCACAGCTGGGAAAGCAGCTTAGCAAATTATACGCTATGATAATTGATTGAATTCATCAGTAAATAAAGCAGCCACCTCTAAACTCAGGGTCTAGAGAGGGAGGAAAAATTCTCAATGCAGTGGTTTGTACCAACAGGTGCAGGAGTTGTCATGCCCATGAAAGCACAGCCACCAGGAAAAGTGGCACGCAGCACTGCACTCTGGGCTAAAAAAAGCTCCTTTTGGGT